TTCCTACCTAAGAGACCTTGAGTCCTGACAGAGTTGTAAGGATGATTGACACTTCCCGGCTTCTCACACTATAGAAGACTATTTCTTCTCGAAGTTCTTGAAAATGAAAGGCTAGTATCAGTTATACTTGTGCATGACCTCAAAGCTTAAAAGATATCTACTTGATGTCAATTACACATGGCTTTTTTGGAAGTTTTAGATTTTAGTTTCTTTTTTTCTAGTTGGTTTATATACTGATATTGCCAGCACCGACAGCCGTGGGGTAGGGGGGAGTATGCTGTTTTTGGGTTGATCTTTCTAACTCCCTGTTCACATAGGGGAGGTAGCACCAGCATGGTACTTCTGATCATCGGTGCGAAACATTTTACTGGTGCCACACCTCGTTCAGCTACCAGTATAACTTATCCGTCAGACCCTCATCATAGCGTAAAAATTTACACCATAACAGTAGCTGCATTTTGTCTTACCTCTACCCAACTGATTTTTCTGGTATGGTAGGACCTTGAGAGAATATGCGTTCTAACCAATGTAGCTCGTTGGGTCATTGTAATATGCAAACCCGACTACCACATCAAGTTAACAGCTATCAGTCGGGATTATCCCATCTTCCCACGGGTTCCCTTTTGCTCAGTCAGATGTTTCGTTTATTTTATCACTGTTAGCACACTAGAGATTTCCTCTTTTTTCTCCCGAAAGTAGGTTGTCGATTTTCATTTACTATTGATAAGTACCAATAATATGAAACATGAAGTGTTTCTAGTTGTTGAAAATTATTGTTTATTCTAACTATTTTTTCCCAAATAGGCGTGAATATTTTGTCCCGTTGCTATGTCTGATATCAATAAAATGTAGCGAACATTAGTATACACATTTGTTCATAATGCTAATATTGATTGATAAATCGCGTCATTCGTTTAATTTCAATGGCAGTTACGATAGTCAATGGAATTTATCGTTTTGTTTGTTACAGGAATATTTCGGTTATTATTTACTCCTTTTCTTTATGTCCACTCTTTCATTCAACACAAAAGATGTTCTTATTCATTTTTATCAAGTAATATTTAGCTGTACTTTATTTATTCATTTTTTTAGATACAGTTAATTAATATACTTCACTTTCACAATACTGATATTTAGTATTGGTTTAGGTCAAGGAACTAATACATGCATATTGAATGGTTATTTTCATTATCTCATGTATAATGAAGGAATAATAAAATCTATCAACTACAGATCCGTATTCTGTATGTATTGAATGGAGCCTCAATTTATTGGTTTAACGCAGTTGACTTTCAATCAATGGGTCTCGAGTCCGAACCCCGCTCCACCTACCAAGGCTTGCCCAGTGATGTAGTATAATCAGCCCCCATACAATAAGTCTAGTGTATTGTCTACTGCAGTAAAACGTGCAGAAGGTTGTTGAGTGCATTTCAATTAGTTTCTGTGAAAACATTTCAACAGTATAGATACATTATGTGCCTCATTGTCTATTACGTAAGTATATGTACTTTTTTTAGGTTGGTTTACTTGTTAGTCTGAACAAGTGTTTTCCTATCAAAAAGTTTTAATTTCGGATATAACTCTTATTCTTCTTATTTTGTTTTTGTTTTCTGATAGTAGTTACATTATTGACTCAAATACTGAGTTATTCAGCCATACATTTGCCCGTAAATATAATTCTCTACTTGGTGTCTGCTTGTTTGCATCTTTTACACTGATTCAATTCTAACTCATAAACTACAATCTTAACAACGAAAAATGCACACAGTTTTATTGACTGTATGGTGTATTACAATCGACCAATTTCTTCCTACATTCAATCATGAATACCTACTCATCTCAGAGTTTGCATAACTTTATAAATAATTTTATATTCTGTTTAACCGTATATTATTCCTTCTGTAGCCATACTTGAGACGATTCAATATAACTTATTGTATAAAACAGTAAGATGACTAGGCGTCTTGTTTTAGTAATAATTTGTTTGGTGGAAGTTTTCTATTTTGGTTTATTATGATGAAGCTGATGCTGTATGGTGTAAGCATTTGACTACTAAATCACTAGATCATATATCTAAATATACTGTGTGCACTCGAACTAGTAGGGTATGTGGTTACTGATAAGTGAAGTTCACATGCTAATTAATACATATGCATGTTTTAATGTTACTGAGTGCTTACCAGTTCTAAAAGGTTGATTAGTGTACCCACTATGGTATGTAGCTGAAGCTTTGGTTACAAGTTCACTACTTGACTCATTGGTTACTTCCTCAATTAGGATATGTGATCTGAGGACATTTTCCCAGCAATTCCTCTTTGATGGGTTTTTTAACTGGAAATGGATCCGAGTTTTTTTCTTTTTACCTGAAAGTCAAGCTGATTGAGGGTAATATCGGAAATATGCTTCGGACAACGTGGCAATGAAACACGAAAAATCAATCAGAGTTTCAGTATGATTTATAAAGTAATGACATCAAAATAGTATTTCACTACTCTCTTAATGCAGTCATCTGTTTACGTGTGATAAGATAGTGAGCAGTTTCCATAGCTTGCTTTAGTCACTTTCAAAACTCATTTAAATGAACAAGGGATATCCTTTTCGATAACTTCTACTCCTTCAGGTTCTACAGTTCTATGTACATACTATGGAATTACGCATCAGTAATATAGGGGACTCCGCTTATTAGTTTGGTAACAATACTATACAGTCGAGGGAGTCAATAGAGAAGAGTCATGTGTGAACACTTATGAGAGAATCAATTGTTACTGGAATTCAAATCAGTATAATTAATTATCTAAATGATTATACGGCTTATGTAATATGAAGTCTAATAGTTTCACTACTACTACTACTTCTGGAGTTTGAAGGATGTTGGGCCGGATGTTTTTTGGCAAGTTAGTGGGAACGCGGTACAGAGTGGAAAACGACTCATTCAAATTCACTTTATGGTTCACTGCAACCAAGTGTGCTAATTGAAGCTGGTAATGGTCTTTACCACACCTTTACTAATCACGCTGAAAGGTGTTCGCAAAAACGGAAAATTAAATTCCTAGAGCAGCGGCCGACGTAAATGGCTTCACAGGAGCAGTCGAAAAACTGCTAATACATCCCGGTACAGTTTATAGGTAACATGCTCAGCAAGATATTAGTTCACAAACTACGCAGAGTTCACAGAACTTTTCATGCTGGTAAATTACAAATCTCGTTTTCCATGCCCCCTATGGTGATACCGAGAGTGAAAGATGAATTACCTAAACTGGCCACTTCCTGTAGTGTTTATCAGTTCGACTATTGTGGAACCGGTTACGCTGGTATGGTAAAGACCATTACCAGCTCCATATTAGCACACTTGGTTGCAGTGAACCATAAAGTGAATTTGAACAAGTCATTTTCCACTCTGTACTGCGTTCCCACTAACTTGCCAAAAGGCACCCGGCCCAACATCCTTCAAACTCCAGAAGTAGTAGCAATCAGGATCAAACAACCCGAACTGTGTATTCAAAAAAGCAAGGTTTGCCTCTACAAATACCGTGCTCCGATTCTGGATGCACAAATTCGTTAGCGTCCTTCCCTAGATAATCTAATTCCATACTGTAGATACACCTTCTTCCCTATAATCTGAAATAACTTTAACGAATTCTCTTAACCTATTCTGTCCTTCGTAGTTTATTTCATTCAATTATTATAAACACATTGTTTTATTGGACTATCACTTCATAGTATTACATAAGATAATTAATCATATTGATTTGAATTCCAGTAACAATTGATTCTCTCATAAGTGTTCACACACGACTCTTCTCTATTGACTCCCTCGACTGTATAGTATTATTACCAAACTAATAAGCGGAGTCCCCTATATTACTGATGCGTAATTCCATAGTATGTACATAGAACTGTAGAACCTGAAGGAGTAGAAGTTATAGAAAAGGATATCTTTTGTTCACCCAAATGGCTTTTGAATTGTATTGAGAATTTTTAATGATTAGTCATTTTCCTTATTATTTATCCAGTATTTCCGTCAAGAACAAGTCTGTTGAAAATAGCTAGAAAAAATCCTGATTTACTTGACTAACCAAATCGAGTGAGTTTTTAGATACTCATCATGTTAAAAAAAAGTAGTTACCATTGAATTTGAGGTCATCCAAACACCCTAACAGTTTTGTCGTTTGTTTCTTTGTAACGTATTAAATACATCCTGTATAGAACCAGTAGACTAGAGTGAGGCAGCTGTACAATGTTGTAGAAACTTTTACCGATACATTATCTAAAAAAGTATACTTCACAATCACTAACGTGTGTACATAGAGTAGGAGGTAGTAAGAAAAGCTTATATTAACACTCATCTCATTTGAAGATAGTGCTTAAATTGTAGAATCCTGAACATTTCTTACTCAGTTTACAATGCATTTCTTACGGGTATGCCACTGAATGAATATCCTAGAAACTTGCAAATAGCAAGTCAATGTTGTATTTACTACTGTCTATTTTCGTTATAATAGTGTCCTAGTAACTGTTGTCCACACATTTGATATGATCGATAGCCTATTAGTTGAATGTGTCGGAGAATCTCTGTAATATACATTTTCAACTTAGGCTTGTTAATTCGTATTCCGGAATCAATAGAGTGAGTATGTATGTCAAAAACGTTATTCTTTGTCATAAGGCCTAATCTATTATTGTTATTCTAACCATAAAGTATTTCCAAAGAGCATGATGATCAACAGTCATATTTCAGTGGTTCAAGTAGATGAGTAAAACTTGAACTTACGCCTACTATTTCATATTTGTAGGTCATTTTAAAAAAATCTTCACTCGACTTATCTAAGTTTGAGTAATCATGTAATATCATTATTCCTAACAAATGGTGTAGCTTATAACACGGTGCATCATGGGTTTCTTTTTCGCTACTACATACAATAATGATTCCTTTAAATAAATAGAAATTTATGAATTTTTGTTGTTATTTCTGTTTAAAAACATTTTATTCATATTCAAAGACCAATGAGTATTAGCATACCTAATGATCTTGTCATCAGTGCGGATAATTTACAATCATCTCCAACTGTATTACTCCCAACGAAAACCATAGCACCTGGTTCTTCATTTCCTATTAGTACATTTACTACTTCTCTGCAGAATAATTCACTAGGACGTCGAGGACAAAATTGTCATTCTTTATCATATACTGCTGTAAAACGATCATCACATAGTGCAAACACTTCACCAACTCGATTGTCTAATCATCATGAAGATAATCAAGAGTATTTTAAGAAAACTACAGATAATAATAAACAGGTAATTGTTTTTTTTCGGTTTCGCTAATTTTTTATATTCTCTGTATACCTAAAGCAATATACATTCAAGAAAATTTAATTGATGGTTTTTCTCTCGGGATAATACGAAAAATATGGTTGTATCAGACTAAAACGTCAGCACTACGGTAGAGTTTAATTTCATGTTAGTTTGTTTGTTGTTTTGGTGGATAGCGTTTCGAACAAAATTTATTGCTCATAATTACATCAAAGGTAACTGCACAACTTTCAGGTCTAAAATCTACAGTTCTTTTTCTTTTGGTAGGAAAACATTCTAGATATCTGAAACAGACACTTAGTCATTCCTGTTGGACGTGTTTGATGCCGATTTGATAAGGAAAGCTCTAGTCAATAATTTTTACCACTTCTTGTTTGTATAATAATGACAACGCTAAGAAAGAATTTACCATATAACTAAGGGATTTTGGGAGTTTTACGTAAAAGTAATGGCTAGAGCTACATACTTGCTTAGACACAAGCTTTGTGAGCTAAAGGATCATTTAAAGCGTATATCGACAAAATAAATCGACGACTTTGAAATAAAATCAAATGAATCATAGTAGTCGACTAGAGTCAGATAAAATAACACAATATAGAAACTTGACTAAATGTACGATGGTAAACTAATGAGTTGGAGATGCAAAGAAAGGTCCAGTCTTATCAGTAATTGCAACCAAGCATGATATGAAGTGACAGTTCAATAAACTAACTTAGCAGACTGTATGACACTTTATTTATGATGAAATTATCATGAAACAAACAACAGAAATAACTCCACGTGTTCCATATATCTGAAAAACTACTATTCGTATCATACAGGGAGAAATTATTATTATTATTTGTCCTTTGGGTTCCTGGTGGAACAAAGAATTTCAGTAGCACGTCGCCATTTCACTCTTCTCTGCAGTCTTTTTAACCTGACTCCACGACTGTCCAGAAGCTTTTATTTCTTCCTCACACCATCTCTATCTCACCCGCGGACGCCCAACTCGTCGTTTTCTCTTCGGGTTCCACTCGAGAGCCTGGCCTGGTACGTGATGTCCCCGAATGGTCTTCTCAGTGTATGCCAATCCAATCCATCTCCACTTTCTTCTGCCTATTTGCTGGGCGTTGGGTTCTTGGTTGGTTCGTTGCCAGCCAGTCAGAGCTCCCTGTGGCTTATTCCTATTAATCTGGCCATCTGATCTCCGTCCTCAGTATGGAGTGAGCGTAGGCGGCAGCTATTCATGTGTGTCTGCAGTCTGTTGGAAATGCTTTTCATAACGCACCAAGTTTCTCAACCATCGCATAGAAGCACTGACTTGATTGACATTAGTGTTGAAAATCCGGATGTTGTTCACGCTCTATGCTGAGTGCAGTGCAGTGCAGTGTAGTAGATCTCCACACTTATTAGTCCAGGTTAATACAGGAAGGTCTGTCTTGCTGTCTTTCTGATCCTGGCTTTCACATCTTCATCTGTGCCACCCCGAGTGGTTGAAACGATGCTGCCTAGATGGGTAAGTGGAAGATACTGCTTCCTTTAGATTTCTCCCGTTGATGGTGATTGGTGCTTGTTGTTGGTGGTGATAATGGTGGTTGGATATCTTCATCAACTCTGTCTTCTCTATGTTCACCTGAAGGAAGTCCCGTCTTCCCTCCCATGCCTTTGCTGTCAACTTGTTGGTTTTTGTCTGTTTATCTTCGAGTTTGTGCGACAATATATTAGACGTAGATCATCATCGGTATTATCCAAATCTTCTTCCGAGGTCTTTTCATTGGTCCAGCCAGCGTATGCCTCTCTTCTCTCTTCTCACAGTTTGCTGCATGATCCAGTCGACCACAATCGGGAAGGTCATTGGTGATAGTAGGTAGTCTTGTCTTACTCCTGTCTTTACTTCAAAGGCACCACTGAGGTTTCTATTATCAATCGCTTGTCATGTGGCGTCGTCATATAGTCAGCTGTTGAATGAGGTTAATAAAGGTTTGTTTCACTAAAACCGTAGTTTTGAAGCAGCTGCCAAATTACTTCTCAGTCGACGCTATATAGGAAGAAATAGGATTATGAAATTAAAGTCTGAAAGTTGTTCAGTTATCTATGATGTGAACATGAACAATGAGTTATTTTGGGAAGGTTATTCAGTAAATTTTATTGATATGAAATATCCAACAAATTAATAACTTCAAAGGTTGCCAGTGTTAATCGACGCAGTCGTGACATATTTTCTGCAATTTAACAAATGTAATAAGCTTAAATAGTTGTTTCCACTACCACCACTTTGTACTCACATCAAATCAGTTTCCTCTGCAGTCCTGAAAATAGGTAGTTTGAGGATTCAAACTGTAGGTTTTCGAGGACTTATTTATTGATTTCAGGCTGGTACTCATCATGGATGGATATCAGTTGCAGAAATATTAGAAACCTGGGAGCACTGAACAGATGTTTTGTCCGAATATGGGACTTCTCAGTAGTGCACACCTATGGCTCCATTCCCCAGGGACCGAACCCATGACTTTCAGACTCGACAGCCAGTGCGTTACTATTGAGCCACTGGGTCGGAATCCAATGCTTCATATTATCTACTTCTGTCAGTTCACGATATAGCGCAACCTCCATCCAGTGCCGTTGTTGAGTAACTGTTCTGATGTTCGACTTGGTTGGCTCTACCAGTCACGACTTCTCACCTCTCGAAGCGAGTCATCAATGAGCACTAGATTAATTCAACTCACTATAAAGCTTATATGCCATTTAAATATTTTAATAATACACAAATTATATGAACATCGTGCTTATATCGTATTGGATACTTTATGTGAATTCCTCAGATCCTACTCCACTAGCTACTGAACCTATAAAAACAATATTTGGGAATACTATTGGAACTTAGACTATGAGGGAAAGGTATTCACAAAAAAGAACAGCACTTTATATATCTTTACAAGTGACTAATATTTCTTGGATTTCCCAATAAAACGTTTTAGCATTCTGTTCGAATTGTGCCAATTAACTATGAATGTTTTCAGCAACTTTCTAGCTTGGTTAGACTTGATTTATATATCTTAACAGTTTTTAGCTACTTATATCATTCAGTAGTGTATATGTTGAGAGAAAGTATTACTTCAAACAATTGAGTGTACATGAAAAGTTCAGAAAAAAACAGTGAGTTCAACTGAACTAGCTCCATTTCCTTTTCACCTAATAACGGACTTTGAAAGTCGTAGTACTACTTCGTAATATGGCAGTATTACTACTTTTGAAATACATTCATATACCCCATAAATTCGCATGGGAAAAATGACTGAAAATCTGGCATTCTGAAGGTAGTCTTGATGTGAGTTCGATGTTTGATAATTGAATTGAGTGATAACCGTCATATAGCACATACTTCATATATCTTCTGCTGTAGATGAAATACTTAAAGTTCTGTGACCGTCAACATTGTCTGTTACCTTACTCTTGGAAGTACCTGTATACCAGTAAGTACTTCTGTTTTCCTTTAGACTCTAACTTGATATGACCATTGTATGCAATGTGACACATTAAATTAGGTCTACAAATATGAAGCTACTCAAAAATGGGTAATTTATATTCTTGTCAAGTTATCATAAAGCCTTGATGAAGAACCCAGGTCCATGTCACGCTATCCATGCATAGAAACATAAGAGGTTACTGCAAATGCAGTCTACCACCTGCCAGAAATCATACCGAAAGCTATAATCTCAATGTTTTGAAATCCTATGAATCATTTTGATACTCCGAAGACCTCGACAATAGAAAATATACAATGGTAATAGGAAAAAGGATTATTATTATTTTCTCTTGGGTTCCTAGTGGAACATAGTGCTTCAGTAGCATGCCTCCATTGCACTCTCTTCTCTGCAGTCTTTTAAACCTGGCGCCACGACTACCCACAAGGTTTCATTTCTTCCCCACATGATCTCCTCCATGTCACTCTCACCTCGGACGCCCAACTCATCGTTTCCCCTTTAGATTCCACTCGAGGGCCTGACCTGGTGCATGATGTCCTCAAACCGTCTTCCTTCTAAGTGTATACCCAATCCCTCTCCACTAATAAGGTTAATTAGGCGAAACAAATCAGAGAAGGAAAATGAAATATCAGATGGGTAATAATTAAGAGCAAAAAGCAAGTAAGAACGATTAAGTATGATTAGACAATTTTGTAATTCTTATCATAGCAGATTTAAGCTGACTACCATTTCCTTTTGAATGTAGAGGTTTGGTTCGCCAACTCAAATCCGTATATATAATCAAGTATGTAGAGTATCATCCAGCTGATGAATATTACTGAAATTTATGAATTCACTAAATCCTTCTTTTCTTCACATTCGTTGCTTATTTTAAATTTGTATCAGGAGACAAATGTTTTCAATTCCTAAAGAACTGGGATTTATTTAAGAAATATTAATCTCACCACAACTTCAGAAATGTCACTTACTTTAAGGTATTACCAAGTATGAAATATGAATACAAGATTTCCTGATGATTCATTTTTTAATGGAGAACATGTCTATTTTAGTGATGACATTTATGTATTGTTTTCCTAGGTTTATAATCCATTGCAATATTTGATCGTTTTTATTTATCTTTGTTCCTTTTTTTTGCTAAATTATTTAGTCAATTACTTCTCAATCACAATTTCATAATAACAATTTATCTAGACCGTATGAACAGCATTCATCTACAGAGAAGTTAAACAATTCTAGAAATACTGATAATATTAATTATTCTAACTCAATGCAGAGATCATCATCACAACCTGATTTAGTTATGATGAATGACATCACCTCTTCGAAATATCATCCTGCATTCAATGAATATTTTGTTCATCATCATCATCATTTAATTAATGGTTTCGATTATTTAAGCACTAACGGAGGAGGAAATAATGCTAATGGTGATAATTTATCAGTGATACGTGTATGGCGATCCAGTGACAATGGAAAAGATCATTCAAGTAAATTAATTATACTACCACGTAGACAAACTAATGCATGTGAAGCTACACGTTTATGCATTGAAGAATTTGGTATACCAGAGGAGGATCAAAATTCTTATTGCTTATACCATGTATGTGTTTGTCTCCTTTTCCAGTATATGTGTATCTATAATGTACGAAACCAAAGCTTCGTACACCTCATTTCACTATTATCTTTGAGATACAACTTGATGTACGTTGTATGAATTAGCTGCAATACCTCAAGTTTTTACAAAATATGCAGCTTAATAACGATTCACTTTTCGTAGAAGTCAATACTTAAGTGCTTATACCACTAAGATATAGCACTTGTGCAATTAACCTACCTTTAAATCTGAATATACTGCATTTCAAACGTGACTGGACAATTGGGTTGCTTTGTCTGCTTTTAGCACTAATTTCCTTATCTAGCCAGTTTCAAATATATCTTTGAGATAAAATATTTTGAATTGAATTGTGAAGGCATATTGTATACTGTAGCTCATTGGTTTACGGAGATGACCTTCGACAGATGGGTCGCGGGTTCGAGCAGTCAGATAATATCGCTAGTCTCTATACAATAAGTATGGCTCCATTGCCTATTACTACACTGCTACTTTACCCGTTAAATAGTAAAAACTACAACTAATATATTTTCATTCAACTAACTTCACTGTTTCCTACTTGTTGGTTCCATTTACTTTGGAAAAAGCATCAAACAAATATGTAGGCACATAACGTTACTGAAAAAGTTAAAGTATTTTAATCAGTAAAAAAGAGATTTAAGTAATGTATCGTTCCGCCCTTAATCAACTAAATAGTCACATGCTTAAATTTTAATACCTGCTCGCTGTTTCTTTATTTGATAGGTGACATTAAAGTCTGAATTAGGTGATAGGATCATCTTTTTTGCGGTCATCACAGGAAAAAGGTACACAAGATTCATATCCACTTGCATTAATAGATTACAGTGTATAACACAATACAACAATTTCATTCAGACAATGAGGATAACCGTACGATTTGTTATATTACTAGAAAGATGCATTTTCTATATTTAAAACAACAAAGTTTTGATCATCTGATTAAGTGTTCAAGTTTCACTTCGCCTTCCAGGGTTTAGGCTGCAGTGTATTTGGACTAGACGCCATATAAAAGATGTAAGCAGTAGTCAAGTACGCTAACCTGCATGATAAGGATCTTTCAGCTTATATCTTTCTTCCACTACTTCACAAAGAGAAAAAATATAAAACTACCCTGAATTAGTGTGTGTTTTATTATCGTAGAATTCCATTGACCCCTCCATTTGCTGAGTGGTCATGTAAAATTGAACCTTAGGTTACGACATTTTCAGCTGTAGAATATTCACATATTGAGTGTATTTTCAAAAATCGATGTAGAACCTTGCACAAAGGTCCATCTACTCAAGTTGTCTGACTTTACAGTAGTACACACATAATAAGTGTATAGAATAAGACATATTAGACAAAGTAGTGTGATCGAATAAAAAATCCGAAAATAAAGGTTGGTGCTAATATTCAAGCTTTAAAAGTGTTGAAGAGTGAATACATCTACACCACTGCGACCGATTTTCAGCTATGTCATCAAAGTTCCCCAACCACTGATTCCTTTCGTCTCGAGGACCCCAACCAGGCAACCTATATCTCCCATGACGACTCACATGAACAGTAAGAGACTTCATCAACTAGTGCCATGTCGTGGTTTATCCCTCTTAAACACTCTTCTAAACTAATCCAATTTCGAAATGTTGGAGAATATTTGTAGCTCAGGTGGATGGCCTTGGTTGTATTGTGTTCTCTGAGCTGGGTTGTTTAGTCGTGGAGCTTTCATCGTCTTGCTAGACGACGTCATCGACATGGAAAGTCGAAAGAGGCGGTGACTCGGCATGCACATTACATGCCCAAACCATCTCAGTCGACTAAGGTTCAAAACCTCACCAATCGATTTGCTGGCCTTTCTTGACCAGTACCCTTCCCCTCACCTCAACATTGCTCATACGGTGATTCCACCACACGCAAGCAATCCTACGAAGGCATCTGTGATCTAAACCCTTTAGTCACTTCATGCCTTCTATTTTCACTGGCCATCTCCCACAACCATACAAAGGGACAGGATGGACTGTAGCGCAGTATACTCGTTGTTTGGTAGGTAGTCGGATACCTCATCAGTCATCACCACAGGTGACGAAAGTTGGCAAACTCCTAACATGCCCTCTGTATCCGAGCTGAGATTTTGTCAACAACCAGTCAGTTCGACCTTATACAACTCCCAAGTAAGTGAAGTGGTCAACATATCCAACCATTTCACTCCCTATCCTTGAACTGTAAGTAGTTGCAGTAAACCAGTCCTGAAGCATCATCTTACATTCGACATGTGCCAGTGAAACACATGCCAAACATATCCAGATTTCTGCTCAATGCGTTCACAAGACCCCACAATGCGTCAGCATCTTCATTCAGCAAGACAACATCGTCTCCACACTCTTAGTCAACCAGATGATCTCCAGGAAGTAGGTCAATCTGTGTGTAGCCAGAGGCACCTAAGGTTATGTCCTGTCCACTAATACGACGAAGTTAAATAGGAACGGTGACAGTATGCATCCCTTGGAGACACCACTGGTTGTCGTCAATTCACATGACAACTCTGCATAAGTTTTTACACGACCGCCTGAGTTCCAGGAAATAGCTTTGATTATCGGTACATTCTTACTCGGTACCCCCTTCACAGTCAAATGCTGTCGCAACACCTCATAGCCCAAATAGTTGCCGAGTGTTACCCAACACTGATGCCTTCTCCATCCCTCTCGCTTTCACCACCCATAGCTGCTCCCAATTGACGCGAAGACTCTTGGTAAAGTTACGTTTCTTTGCTTTCGCTCTTCATCATGGTCAGATCCAGCAGGAATCAGTCTTCTCGCATCAATCAGTTTGGATGACGTCGCAGAAATCCAATGACGTTTCCTAACCTTTGACTGTAGGTGACCAGTAATCTTTACTGCTGTTTCTACAGCAGGTTTCACATCACGTCAGGCTTACCCAGGATGAGCATTACTGTCATGTTAAGATAAATGCCTAGCTAACGCCTCTCTGAATGCGTACTTGACATCCTCATCTGCCAATCGAGCACAGATGGGCCTCATTGCTTCTGTTTCCTGTGACCAATAAGGCTTAGACATACATGAGCCCGTACCAGCACGTGCTCCGAGTCCGAGCTGGTACTCCAGAAAGAGCGGCAATCCTCTATCGACCCTATTAACGGTGCCTCATATCAACATGATATATGTATGTACATCGCTGGTTTGAAGTCGGTGAACGCCATGTGAGACAGTGTTTCTCTTTATCCCTAAAGTTGGTGTTGGTCATAAACAGGTGATTGTCGGAGGAAAATTGTAACAGACAATCACCGTTGTCAGTTCATTGGCTTGGGATCCCGTAAATACTTCTGAGTGTTATTGGTAAGAATGACTTTTGATTTTCAACTGATTCTATAGATGGTAACTATTTTTCTAGTATGTCGATGTAGACAAGTAATAGGCGTTACCTAGGGCAACCAAGTGGTAGGCTAACCTCTTTGTAAACTATGACTATCGGGTCGACTTTTTTCCTTTTCAAATAATAAATTTGTTACCGTAAGAACGTAAAGCAATTGTTATACGATCTATGCTTTTTTATATTCACCGTGACTTGAAAATAAAAGTAATCGTAAAATAAAATCTTCATGTTTTCGGGTTTCATTTGATTGTGTTCACTCCTAGGTCACTGTTGAATCTGGACCGATTGTTAAACAAAGTCGTCTAGCTAACATAGTGGATGATTTAGCTGGACGACTTACTTTAAATTCAAGATATTATTTGAAAAATTTACGTAATCATGATCCTTTGATTGCTGATGATATTGCAAAGTCAATTCTTGCTGAAAGTCGTGTTACATTCACACAGGTAATTTGAGAAACTTTTGTTCTAACCATTAACCTTTTTGATAAACAATAAGTAAAAATGGTTAGATATGTGTTATTCACCTCTAGTTATCCGATACTCAGTTATGTTCTGTCTGAATATTGTTGTGCGATAAGAAGTTCAAAGTTGAATCAACGAAGTCCCTTATATTTTGTTTGAATCATGTTGCGAATTGTAAATCTGTCGAAATGTCTTTCATTTTGAAATTCCAGCAGCAAGACTAACGGATTCCTGTATATTTTATTGATAGTTATGTAGGTTTTTTTTAATTGAGATATTTTAGCTTCAAACCCATATTTTACATAATTAAAATAAAATTGTAACCTTATTAGTTTAAGAACCATTTATATTTTATTCGTTGTTTTTTTTTTTTCTTGTTTTTCTCTTTTTTTAATTTGTTTATAAAATTTCATTTAATTTTAAAGTTTAAAAATTTGGTTTTAAAAAATTTAAAAATTTTTTTTACCGACCCCGCTCCACCTACCTAGGTTTCGTTAGCCAAGTAGTGTCACTACCCCTCAAATAATATATGCGGCTCATTGTCTACTGCACGTATGTTCACAATGTGACTCAGTGTGTTTCTTTTCTACTTAAATTTCTTTGTTGACCATCTGTTTGTTCTCAAGAGGTGTATATACTCCTATACAGCCCAGATCAATTAAGTTCTGAAGTATGCAACCTGTTCACCCATTGAAATATGAAGTGTATTTAGCATAGGGAATTACGAAAGGATGGGAATGTTTGGGAATTATTCAAGAGTACCATCAAGTTTTCTCCCAGCTAATTTGAGTTTTATAAAAATTCAAAAGTGCTACTTCATTCGTTTGGGTTGTAGGTAACAAAAATGTTTCTGAGAAGCTTCATATTATCGAGCTTATCTCTTTTTATCACCTAATTACTTTTTATCCACAAACGTGAATAGATTGTTGTGAAACACGTAAATGGATTTTGTAACTTATTAGAAGTCACAAACTGCTTAACATTGACGACTTTTTCATTGTAAACTAAATATATGAACCAGTCAACTAATATTTTTAACTCACCGCATGTGATTTACATTGTGTCCAAGACTTTTATGGTGTTTTTTGAAGATTCGTTGGATGGGTTTATGTTTGGCAAGGTATTTTCCATTAAGTTAATTTGTTTATGCATCATTATTTTATGCTGATGAGTAATTCCTTCTGATATACTTAGCTTCCACCAGAAGAGTTAGCTGCTCGTTTAACTCTAGATGACTATGAAGTATTTCGTACTGTCCAATCAACGGAATATATTGATGAAGTGTTTGGACTTAGTAATACATGTGTTGATAATGTATCTACAACTACTAGTAATAGTGGAGCTCCAGTTGGAAGTGGTAATGGCAATAATTCTGGATATGCGACGGGTCATGAGAACTTGGATCGGTTCACGGATCTAGTCAATCGAGAAGCATATTGGGCTCCTACAGAGATTTGCAATGAAAGTAATTTAAATCGACGAGTTGATTTGTTGAAACGCTTCATTAAGGTGAATTTTATTGAATATTTATTAATTTGCACGTTTATAATACTGTATATTGATTACTTTCACTCATAAATATGGTTTTTATTTATCTCATCGCCAGAATTGGTGATAATTAGGGCTGTCCTCCAAGTGTACCCACTGTCACCATTCCTATTTAACTTCGTCATAGACGTATTAATGGACATAACTTTAGGTACCTCTGACTTCACAGAGATTGACCTACTTCACAGTCTAAGGATAGGGAGTAAAGTGGTTGGATATGTTGACCATTTCACTTGGGAGTTGTATCAGGTCGAACTGACTGGTTGTTGACAAAATCTCAGCTCGGATACAGAGGGCATTTTAGGAGTCTGCCAACGTTCATCACCTGTGGTCCTGACATGCGAGATATTTGAAGTCTTAGTTTTACGTAGTATGCTAGACTACATTATCCTGTTTTAATCAACGTCCCTTGGCTTACTACTTCACTCAGACAACGTGCTACATGAGGTAGAAAACATTCTCTGTGTAGTCAAAATGTTTCAGCTTTTAAATGGCTTATCATCAGCAGCCGTATAACGTACCCTTTCTTCCAACTGTTTATACTACATTATCAAGTTGTATCTGCATCTTTTATGATTTAAGTGGCTTCGAAAACTGTTGAAAGATATTTTGATTGGTTGTGGCTACAAGAGGAATTCAGGACATGCGTTTCGTCCTATTTGGGACTCGTCAGCCGGATGTACCTGCATCCCAGTGATGTTGTTCCCACTGAGACTCAAACCTCGTACCCATCGCTTCAAACGCCAAGGCGTTATCCACTATGCGCCAGAGGAACGATAGCCACTTCTTATACAACGGGTGATAGTTATTACTATTTATTGACATGGTTGTTATTCTCCGTTGTTTTGTTTGGTCGAATTGTTCATAATTAACATTCAGGGATTATCGAGGCATCCGCATAGTAGCCCATTTGCTAATAGAGGTCGAACAATTCGACCCAACAAAACAACGAAGAATCAAAAGTATGTCAATAAATTGTTAAAAGATATGTCTACAAAGTATAGGAAATTTGAGGTACGTTAACTTTAATGATGCTGCAATTTATTTGTTTGCCCTATACTTCACATACTGAAGTTTCAACCGTCACGTAGTAAGTCTTCATGTGGTTTATATGCATAGTAATGAATAAAAAAACTACAACGATTACCAAGCTCCCTTACGTATATTACTCTCAACATCTTTACATCATTTAACTTTTCAGTTGCATTAACTTATTCATTTCTATTTTTCTGACTTTCTTTATTCAGTGATTGGGTCTTATTGCTTTTCTTACTTGCATATTGGTATTATATAATAAACATATCTTAACCAGAACTTTTAAATGGCAAAACATTTTTCATTATTTATTCATCATTCATGTTAAACAGGTATTATTAGGTTTTCTATACATTTAAAACATACTAAAAGTTCTATTGAAGATGTTTTAGTCGAAGAAATGTTTCTTTAAATCATCACCTCATTGGCATCTGTGCACATCAATATGTAACACTTTTTAATCATTAACATAGGTTTGTAAGTTGAATCAAAGAAAAGAACTTTATAGGTTGTTATTTTTATGAGTTGAATGTTTCCGCATGTTTTTCAGAATGAGATTGTTCCATTTCATTATTTCCTGTCATATCTTTGACATAAAATGTATGCTGTTTGCCTAATTTGTACTCAGCTTTCAATATAAATTCATTCGAAAATTTCGTAAAACGTGTCTCTCTCACTTTTACAATCTTAATCTGGTTTGAAATAGTTAGTCCTTTTTATGAATTTCGATAGCGTAATTAGAAGACGAAGTTTATCTGAGCGATGTGATGTATTTGCGCAATACATTTCGAACAATCTGATCACACATTTACTTGTCAAGTCAATATGTATTAAACCGAGAACTGGGAGGGGGGATAAATACAATTAACACAATAGGGGATTAAAATTAAGAAAGATGAGGACAAACAGGAAGTGACATAGTTGGTCCTAATCTTGGTAAGAAAACAAAGTTTACCAAGGTAGGTCTAGTGTAATAACAAACTGCTTTTGTACACATAAAGGTGGTTTAAATTTGTGTATGGCTATGGCTTCCTCAAATCTCAGAATACGTCGCTGACTGTTTCTATATAAGACTTTGAAAGCTGTTTGAACATTAACTTTGTGACCTGTTTCTATGATATGTTTAGCTATAAATGAAGAGGGTCGTCTCCCACCTGCGTTTATCACTGTTTCACACTCCGTTTGTTTTTGAAGTCATTTAGGTACATGTTCTCCCACCCCCAACTGCATAACTCGATTACTCCTCCCTATGTATGTGTGACCACACACACATGTAAATTGGTAAACACAATGGGATGTGACGTAATCACTGGTGCAGTGTTTCGGTTTTTGGTGAAGCATGTATATAGTTTTCTGTGTACCGACAAAGTCCACTTCACATTTGGAGGTGAACGCTTTCGACAAGTTGACGGTGTAGCCATGGCTAGTCCTTTAGGACCACTACTGGCTGATATTTATATGTCATATTGAAAGTCTGGCTGATCTCGTCTTTACAAGAGATATGTTGATGACATCATAGTGATTTGTGAGACGCATGAGGATATGGTTTGTCTACTAAATAGACTTAACGCCGTACAAACACACATCAGCCTGACATGTGAGAAAGAGAATAGTAATCAACTGCCATTTTTAGATATACTTCTCAGTCGACGAGAAGATGGTTCAATAAGACGGTCAGTTTACAGAAAGCCTACATGGACAGGACAATACCTGGATTTCCACAGTTTTGTCCAATCCAATACAAGCGAGGTTTAGTAAAATGCCTGTTTAATAGGATCTATCGTATCAGTACACCAGATGTGATGGATGAAGACATCAAATTACTAACCAAAGCACTTATGGAAAATGGATATCCGACGAAGTTTATAAACCGTTGTAGAGGTCAAGTAGCACCAAAGCCAACTCTATGCACGGTCCTTAAGAAAAATGTTCATATCACTCTGCCATATAGAGGGGAGCTAAATAGTACCATTTTGAGACGTAGGCTGACATGAGCCATTAAGAAAACGTATTACGCGGCGAATCTTACCATTGTGGAGAAAACAAAACACATGCTTCACCAAAAACCTAAACACTGCACCAGTGATTACGTCACATCCCATTGTGTTTACCAATTTACATGTGTGTGTGGTCACACATACATAGGGAGGAGTAATCGAGTTATGCAGTTGGGGGTGGGAGAACATGTACCTAAATGACTTCAAAAACAAACGGAGTGTGAAACAGTGATAAACGCAGGTGGGAGACGACCCTCTTCATTTATAGCTAAACATATCATAGAAACAGGTCACAAAGTTAATGTTCAAACAGCTTTCAAAGTCTTATATAGAAACAGTCAGCGACGTATTCTGAGATTTGAGGAAGCCATAGCCATACACAAATTTAAACCACCTTTATGTGTACAAAAACGGTTTGTTATTACACTAGACCTACCTTGGTAAACTTTGTTTTCTTACCAAGATTAGGACCAACTATATCACTTCCTGTTTGTCCTCATCTTTCTTAATTTTAATCCCCTATTGTGTTAATTGTATTTATCCCCCCTCCCAGTTCTCGGTTTAATACATATTGACTTGACAAGTAAATGTGTGATCAGATTGTTCGAAATGTATTGCGCAAATACATCACATTGCTCAGATAAACTTAATCTGGTTATCTTGATACTTTGGTATATCTAGAAATTAGTTAGAATGGCTGTTACATGTATCTCTGCTCTGTCAAGGATATATTTTTTTAGAAAGTGCTTTCCGTCGCAGATTGACAGCAGTTTCAAAAACATTCAAAATTGGACTAAATGGTAATGTGTTCAGCATGAAATGTGCCGTTGTAGGCTTGATCCACCAATTGTATATAAATATGTTTCTCTGGTTAATCAATACCGTAGCCTTTTTATATTTCTATGTTTTTATTTAGCTTGCCAAATTATGCCGTGAACTACGTAACTTCAACACCATGTTTTGTCTACTTGTTGGATTACATCAAACATGTGTTGAACGATTAAAACAGACCTGGGAACGTCTACCGAATAAATATCAGAAAATCTATCGTGATCTAAGTGTAAGTTTGTTTTTTGTTCGATCCCTCTTTTTTTCGTATATTTTGACATTGTTTTTGAAGACTTCTTTTTTATGTCCAACATTTCTATGCATGAATACAACATGTTTTCTTCCCTTTTCTCATATAGTTGTTTTTTTTGTAACATGTATATTACTAATGAGTATTGATGTCGATTACAGTACACTTCACTTTCAAGTTGGTTTAAACTAAAAGGAGAATTTTTTTAAAATAAGCTTTCAGAAAACAGTTCTACGTATTTCTGTAATGCATAATTTTCTCACCGATTTTGACTATTTGTAAATATTTTGACAGAGCATACTTATTTATGTTGAGTGTTTTTTGCGAAATCTGTTACATGATAATGATCAGCGTACTCTATTATCTCGTAATCTCCTTAAATCAATTATGCTATCGTTAACTAAATTATATTGTAAAGGAATGGAGAGAAAAAGCAAGCCTAAATTGAATAAATCTGTTAATAATTTATTCTAATTTGTACAGAACGTATTCACTAAAAACATTAGTTCATTGAGTATGGGTCTACAGTTCTTGATAATAATCTGTTATGCCTTACATATAGATGTGTCGGTTATTTTGATGTACAGCTGGATAGATTTAGTTATATAAATACTGAATGTTTAACTGCCTCTTTCACAATGAATATTGACCTAATGTCTCATTTTTCAGTAGTTTTAGTTAGTGTGTATGATGCGTACTGGTACTGTATTCACTTCTGAACTTATTAATAAGTAAATATTTTTGAGAGCACAACTTAAATACTGCTTGTTTGGACTCAATAGACAAAAAACTGTACGCTTGATAATACAGGTTGATCTACAACCTCAAGAGGATTGATGTTCCCTCAGAGAATCAAACTTGCATCAGCAACTGCTAACCGAGTGTCAACTGACATGAAATCTGATTGAGGCAAGGCTTCCTGTCAATCCCTTCCAACCAAATAACATTAATCAAAGTACATTCGAATGATAAGTCTTTTAGTTTGCTGACCGCATTGCAAAATGATCAACAGAATCCACTTGTCACTAAGGCCTAGAAAGCTTGAAATTGGTTAGCCTCTAGTGACCAGTCTATGTATAGATTACTTAGAAAATTACTCCTAATCTCCAGGTATAAAAATCAGGAGTTATTCTTTGTATTAACCTGTAATTTGTAGTCAATACGAGTTGTATACACAGAGAATTGAATTCGAAATCCATTTAGACAGTGGGATGTCTTAGGTGGCTTTATGGATGGTTTTCTTTACAAAAACAAACTTCAATTAATAAACATTGGCATATTTTTCTAGTTAACTCACAAAAATGAATACAATGTTTTCTGTACATAATAAGCCTGACCTACTTGTGAGAGTCACTTGACTGCTCAGGTCAGAGTAGGAGGAGTCAATCCGAACTCCTCACCTATTGATTCGAAATCGAGTATTTTAACCAAGAGTTTAGACACTTTGCTATCATTTTGGTTTGGCTAAACAAAAAAGATTGAGCCTTCGATTTAACTGAGATTATTCAATCAGTAAACAGTATCTGGACTTCGAATTATAATATAGTATGACAGAGAACAAAATTGTTAGACTACTAAACAGAATGTCCAACTTTCTCTTCGTATCAATCATTTACTTAGCATCGTTGCTAAACATGATGGTAGGCAGTGCTAAATCAGTAATGATGAGAATAGTAATCGTGGGAAAAACAATCGATTAGAAAGAACTGATAGATTTCTTTATCGATTATCCCTAACAGTGTGAAAGTTCAGACATTCTTGATGGATAAACATAGTTAAACAGATGGTAGTGTCAACAAACGTTTACTTGAAAAATCGATTTACGTTTTATCTTTCTTATTTCAGTACCTTTTGTCAATAGATATTAGTGAGCTGTGAATGTATCACTGTGTTCTGTATCTTTCCAAATCTCCTATGGCAACTTTTTTGTCTTTATTATAGCAGACCAGTTTAAAAATTATCTTCAGCGTATATAATCCCAGGATTATAAATGGCTTCTACAGTTTACCAGTATTTATCTGACACTGCTTTTCTGATTATTCAGGAATTACCAACTTGATTTAATTGGTAAGAGCTAATCAAACTCACTGAAATGTGTTGAAATTAACTCAGTGACCATTTATGCCATAAGGCAGTCTACTCTTTACAAAATATATGAATATTATATGTTAGCCTAGTCCCTTAATTTCTATCTTGTTACCGTCTAACGTACAATTGTGTTTTGTTACACAATATTTTCCTCGTAAACTATGACGATGTTATCTTATGTCAGAGTTTGGGTGCTACGGTACCCTACTTGTAATTCAATTTTACTGATCTCATAGTCCCAAGTGACTTGAGGAATACTCTTGTGCTAAGTCATTATTCACGTTAAATCTATTCCATCAGTAACATCTATCTATCTGCTGATTGATTCTATATAAATATGTTTATAAAATACTTAACACTTTAAATTTATCCCGCATCAATGAATCATTTCTTCAGAGATCAGTAATGAACTAGAAAAGAGAACTCCTGTGAATGCTTTTTTCATATTAATTGTCAGCTACTAAAAAATGATGCGCATATTACTATTTAACAAGTAGACTTAGTTATATTTCTCTAAATCAGAGGTGTTTTCATTTCACTAGATTGCAGTAGTCAATACCAGCTTTGCATCTGTGCACTATGTCATAATTAGTTGACTATTAGGGATGACTCAATTGATCACCAGGACCCATAAAACACTTGTGTATGAAGCAGTGTATAGCGTCTGTAGGAAAATCTATTGATGTAGTCTTGATAAGCGATTCAATGATCATAAAGTTCTAGAAGCAGTTAACACTCAACATATTTGTGTCATTGTGTATATTTACTAAAGACTAGGCATGAGTGTGTCATAACTTTCGATGATAGTAGATGAATATTCGAGTACCCATTTTAATTGATTTATTACATATATTCCATAGTGAAATAGTAGTATTTACTGGATTACGTTTCGGGTACAATTTATTGTCCATAGTTATATCAAGATAACATCACAACCTTAAGATATGCATCATATAGTTTTAATTTTCTCGCTTTATTTGTGATATGAGTATTAGGATTTTCCATATATCTGAAACTGGTGCTAATATTAGTCATATTTTTCTTACGACTCCTAAGGAACTTATCAATTAATTTAGGAGGGTAATTGTTGATGAGTAAAGCGTTTCCCTTATGTATCTGGCTTACTATCTTAGATCTGTTTTACCAGTAAGTTTTCTGGCCCTGTTACTTAAACATTTTACCAAGCCAACTTCATGTGGTATAGGATGAGACAATTTGAAGTCCAAGTGACTATTTGGCTATGAAGGTTTTCTGTAAACGCTAGTGTTTAACCTCCCCCCTCCCCCATCTTGTATTCGTTTTCATTCTGCAATCCAACATCGCTAATTCCCCTTCACTATTTCGTAATTCAGGGGTAAACTGGATCGCTTTGACTACTAAACTTATATGTGTAAGAAAAACTATGTATGGGCTCCGATTTCAATACTGTAAACGTTTCGTCTACACATAGAAACCATGCTTCTGGAGCCGGACTAAGTATCTCAATGGCCATCCGTCCCCAACTATCCATAAGTATGTCAATCATGATAGAGAATACTGGTGATCCCATGGCAACTTCTGCTTTTGTATGTTTTATTCTGAAACTTAGATTTTAAAAGCTAAGCATAGCTGTACTCTTAACATGATACCATCTACTGGTACCTAAGTTTGTACTTTAAGTTCATAATCATTATCGAGCTCATTTCTAACTATTTTCAGAGCCATACCAATCGATATCTTAGTCAACAAACTAATTGCATCAAAACTAACCAGTTTCTTTGTTATCATCTAAATGCATGTCATCTAATCTATGCTACAAGTCATGTGGGTTAGTAAGTCTCGGTTTAGAATGGTTCTTAATTAAACCTAGTGCAGTACCATCGCCAGATATTCAGATAAGTCACAAGTAGGAGTATTTCTAAAGTCTATTAGGCTAATAGGATAACCTGCATTATGAATTTTAATACTAGCATAAATCCTGCTAGGATTATTAGCTTTCGGTACTAAATTAAAGCATTTTTGGCTAACCTAAAAACAGGTTCATTCGGCCCATTAGATTCACCCTAGTTTTTCAACCTCATTCATAATAATGTCTGTTGGTTTCTTGTTTTCTCCCTATTGTCCTGTTTGTATATGTTCCTTTACTTTCTGAACATAATCAGATTTGTTTAACACTACTGTTGAGTTGCCTTTGTTTGATTTAGCAATTACTATACTGTTGTCATTCTGAAGGTTCTTCAAATCTCCTCTTTCTGCTTTTCATAAACTCTGATGAGTTTTCTTCTATTGCTTAAATGTTAGAGTACAGCGTGCTCTGACTTCATCTGTCACTGCCTTACATACTGAACTTTGTGTCATTTCACTTTAAGGAATGACATCTTCAAGTTTCGATTTATTAACTGATACATTGAAGTTAAGCCCCTTCTTCAGCACCTTTACTTCTGTTAAGTTTAAAACCCTAATTGAGAGATTGATAATCCACTTTGTTTTGTCGTTGACTGGTGGTGTGCTACTGGGAATCTCATTATTCTCTACTGTATACTTTTCTTCCATTAGCTTGTTGAGCTTCTTTATATGAGCATTCTTGGATTTTCTGAAGACAGCTGATCTCGCTTTGTTGAGGTTGTCAAGGAGGAGGTTTACAATCTCTTTAACTAACTATTTGCATCAGTTTACATTTTAGTTCTTCAATATACCTAGGGATAGTGTGCAACTTTATGACTATTCTATGGATCTCTTCTTTTAAACAGAGTTTACTGAAACGATACATCGCTGCTTTTACCTTCTTCGTTGAGACTGAAGTACGTAGAATTAGATATTTTAGAGTGCTTTGATTTCTAAGACATCGAATATTGAATATACACTGGTTTGTGAATCTGACTTCTCTCTGTGAAAGTCATGTGAGTTTTTTGACT